TTTTTCTAATTGTTTTATATACGCGTTGACGACAATAAATGTATCGCCAAAACGTGATTTAAGGTCCTCTAGCGCTGGTTTATAGAAGACTGGGTTGCATGAGTAGCCTTTGATTAGCTCTTTCGCCTTGCCAGTCACGGCTTTTTGTAGGTAGGTAATTCTGTGTGTATCGCTGATGGTTGTATTGCTATCAACAGTGGCATTGAACATGTTCAACCAGTCATGGAAAGCCAGAGGATTACCATCAAATGATGGAATTTGAATTGGTGGTAACTTGACTGTGGTTTTGAAGTCAATTTTGTCTCTGTTATCTCGATTTATGTCAAAATAGGTGGTAAGTTGAGGAAAATTGCTGACTTACCCTTTAAACTCTGGTAATGTTGTTTGTGGCGAAATGGTTTGAATCAAAGATGGTTGGAGAAAATAGTTTGCAGATTGGTGAGGGTTGCTTCTTTGCTCTCTGTTATCTGGTAGAAAAGCGTTTTTACAACTTAGTCCAGAAGCTATCGACGCGGCGTTGATCCTTGTCTGTTGATGCATGCTGAATGTTGGTTGCATATTAGGATGCAGTTTGGGTTGTGGGAAATTTGATGCCTCCGGTACCAAAGAAACCGGATTCATATGAACCATTGGTTGCCATGAAGGTTGCGTTGATATGACTGAGTTAATTTGTGAGGTACTTTGATACGGAAATGTAGAGGTTGTTTGCGTCAAGGGATATCTGAATGTTAAATCCGAGGTTTTGGTTGTCGTTGTAGTAATGAGGTTTAGATCGATATCTTTCGAGATCTGATGAGAATATCCGCTACCGTTGAAATTGTTTGGAAAAACATCAAAATTTAATGCATGTTTTTCTAAATTGTAAGTTGGACAAAAGGCTTCAGTTGATACTGACGGATGTCCTTGAGTTTGCATTACAGGAGTTTGCGCTATACAAGAGGATGCCGCTATATGTTTTTCTGAATGAAAATCATTTATAGTTTGGTTGTTGGGGTTGTAAGGCCTGTAGAAACCTGGATCTGTGTAAGAGTTTGTTTGTTCTCCAGTTTGCTGTTTCTGGCTCGGTAACTTATGGTGTGAAGATTGTTCAGTTGAACGTATCTGCTGATGAGATTGGAAAATTTGTTCTTGTGGAAAACTGTAGGTGCTTGTTGTGAGATGGGTTCTGAGATCGATATTGTCGCTAGGCTGCTCGTGTAGTCCCGGTTGCATTAGGTGATGAGGTTGCAGAATTGTAAAAGCAAACGATGGGCTTTGCAACCATGCTGTTTGGACTGTGCTGTTTGCTGTATTGGGCTGCTGTTGATTGTAGACTACAGTTTCCGAACCTACATCGTCGTCGATCTCGATTGTTGTATCCGTACTCAGCTGAGCACCTGCATCTCCGAAGTTATTGACATTCATTGAATTGTATTGCTGGCATTGAGAAAAAGCGTTGTTGTTTGCAAACGACGGGGGATGAGGGCTGCTGTCAAAAATTCTTGTCTCTGTGACGACATCATGTCTGTTTGTCGGATGTTCGTTGCTTTCGGAATAGTTGTGGTTTATTGCCGAGCTCATATTAAGTTGAGAATGTCTTGGACGATGATGTAAGTTTTTGTATCCGCAGTTTGGGTCGTAAAATTGTAAGTGTTGGCTAGTTTCTGCTCGCCGATCGTCTGGAAGTGAATAGCTTGTTTCTGCTCGATGATTGTCTGTAAGTGATGATGGGGCCATGTCGGCGTGCGCGTTGTCTGATTTCGTGTTTCTTCTCTCGAAGTCGTGGATAAGTTGCGCGTTGTATTGAGTTGGTGAATCGTTATCGTTGATGTCACTCTGTAGTTGTAAGAGGCGTACTGCAATGTCTGTAGCTGTTGCCGTGACAAACCTAGTTTGTTCGGGCGATCCGGTATCCATGATTTCCGCTAACAATTGATTCAGTTCCTGCAGTCTGGATTCTGCTGCTGCCACTAACGAACTCAAAGAACGAGTTGATTTTTTTGAGCAGAGTTTTTTCTGCAAGAAGTCGAGAGATCCATTGAGCTGCATTTGGCAAATGCGAAATCTGTTCCACGCTGACATCGTTTTTTTTGTTGCTATTGAAGTTGATCGTCGAAGATCCTGTTGTATGTAGAATGTGAGAACGGCTCTAAAAAACCGAGGCTATGCGCAAATCAGTTAGAAAAAAGGAAAATTAAACAAAACCAAGAATCGTCTATGATTTAGAAAAGTTTTTTTTTTAATGTCCGTCTAAGGGTTTTTTATTCTTTTTTAAATTATGTTTTACAATTAAGGCATGCGCAATTAAAGTCAATCAAAAATTGAAAAACAAACAAAGCGTTGTTCCGTGAACTGTCAAAAAGACTTTTTGTTATGCTCAATGCAATTCTAGCCAAATTTTTTAAGTAGACATAGTCTTCAAATCTGCAGCATCAAGTGCCAGTATATTTGTTACTTTTTGATATGTCAAATTACACTTTAACAAGAAGCGTTATTATTTTTAAAAAAAAAATGCAAGGAACTCTTATTTGTTTCGTTTTCTCTTCAAATTCAAATTCAACTTTTGCTTTCACGTACAAAATTTCGAACCAAGATAGTTGTTATAATTTGCGAAGTAAAATTACAACAAACAAGATGAATTGACAAGGAAAACTACAAAAAGTTGTTTGTTCTCAGTGTGTTCAGAAATTGGTTATCTCTATCACAGTCAAATAAGACAGTTTTCTTTTTTTTTTTGGGAAGAGGTTGAAATAAATTGTCAAAAGTATTTAAGGCAGCGACCAACGAAAACTACTACAAAAAAACAAAAGGCTCGAGTATGTTTTTTTTTGGATTTTTTAAAAGTGTGTGAAAAAAAAACGAGACAATTCGGGGTTAAACTTTAAAAAGTATATTTGCCCACATCTAATCTTGGTTTTCTTCAGCTTGTATTTTGTTCAACTATTCGTCTTCCTTTTGTTTTCAATTCTTCTTTTTTCTAGTATTTATGAAGGAGAAGCCCAAATTCCAGCTGAATAGAGAAGTAGTTCAAACCAAGAAAAGCATCCAATTTTTGAATAATATTCACAACCTGATCAGTGTATATTGATTGTCAGTATCATACAATTGCGAGATGAGAATCCAATCTTCTGAAAGAGTATTCAAAACATATCCAAAAAGTACATTTGTACCACTGTATTGTATCTTTGGATTAATTGTATTATATCGCTGTATTGTGTCGCTGTGTTGTTTCGCTATTTTGTAGAATTTAACCAATTTACCAAACCAAATTATTTGCTGAAATTTTCCCGAAAATTCCAAAAAAGGTGGGGTTGTATTCCTTCTTTACTATATAAGAAACTCTGTGATCTGTAAGGCTGTACAAAAGTTGATGAGATCGGCTTTTTTGCTCGCCAAAACATGTAGTTGACTTGTCACTTTCGGTCAAAACATGGCTCCAAGAGTCAACTTTCTTAGTTCTGGTTTGTTTCAAGAGTGTTTATATCACAGAGATTACAAATGTTTGATCACAGTGACTTTTGATTTATAAAGATTGGGAAAATGTAGTTGCTTCGGCAACACCTCATACCTCCTCATAACTTTCGATATCATTGCTGATTGATATGATTTTTTAAAAATAAATCAGGTCAAAACATTACGTCTAACCATGAATTGAAAAATTCGAATTGAATTTGAGGGTAAGGATAAACTAATTGGCGTCTAACTTTTATTCCTTGCAGACTTTTTACCTCAATTTCAAACAACATGAAACATAAAAATACAAAATCAATTCAAAAATCATGTTTTTAATCAGGCTGTTTCCCCTTCAAACTTTTTCCATTTAACGGGGGGCTGCTGAACGTAAGCTCCGACTCTTTACCCGCCCTCCCAAGTTTTTTTCTACATTGAACGGGGAAGCTACTCAAATAAACTCCAGCTTTTTGCCCCACAACCCCCAATTTTAAACACCATAAAGTTTGTAACAAACTAGGGGGTTTGAGGTGGTGGGGGAGTGAGCGAATTGGGGAGGGAGAACTGAGGCGGGGTGGGGTAAACTTGGAAGGGTTTTTTTAGAAAGTTGATGGAATTTACGTCAATTCAACCCCCCGCTCCCTTCGTTCAACTGCACCCTTCAACCATTGAAAACCTCTCATTCAACCATTTTCAAAAACATTTGAGAATTGCAGTGGGCGAATAGCGATAGTAAAATGGGCAAATGGCGATATTAAATTGGGCGAAATGCCGTTGAATAAAAGGATTACTTAAAACATAAATTGAAAAGTATTCGTTTAAGATGGTAAAACTTAGCAACATCACTAAGCTGAAAACGTAATAAATCTGAAAAAAAAAAACTTGCAAATTTCATCAGTAACCTCAGAAAAGAAATCGAAATCATTATAATCGACTATACTCGATTAAAATGGGAATTTTTGATACACAAAGTGGGACTATAATCCATTTTTATTCGAACATAATCAAATTTAATCAATGAAACTGGCAATGAAAATTCAAAATAATTGATTTTCGTTTATGAAACTCCAGTGTGCGATTGCTCAATTGAGACTATTGGACAAAAAACTTTTTGCTTTTTTATCAATCTCATTACCTTTTTGGAGTCATTTTTTCAGCAAACAAATGTAAAAGAATACTGATCGTGGTATTTCAGCACAAGATGTGTTTAAAGTTCTTAACTTAGAGTATTCAAACCGTTCTAGTTTTTAAACAAATTTCGATATAATTGCTCTCAGTTTTTTTCAGATTCATGTTTTTCGCGCCACTAGTTTTTTGGAGGAGTTTATAATTCATTGTTTCAAAAAACTTTTCAAAAATATTGAGTGGTTCAATGCAAATGCACTTATTTAACCCACACGTTTGAAAGGAACACTCAAGGCATTAACAAAATGTGTTCAAATTTACAAAAAGGCAGTTAAACGAAAATAAAAATTGGGTTTAATTTTTTATAGCATTATAAGCAATCGATTTCCCTTCTTGAAACCTCCCCCATTTAAATATTTGTTTTCACAACAATCTTTGTTTTCTAGTTATACTCAATTCCCTGGAAGTTAGATACGAATCATTTGAGCGCCAGTTGGTATATTCTAGTGGAGCAGTTTTGTTTTGGAGCCCCCTTGTGACAGTGCGATTGGCTTGTTCATTTGATGTCTCTCTCTTCCCATTTGACAAACACTTGTGTCCAATAGACGTTGGATCATGGCTTTCAACCAATGACACGTACAAGATAAGGTGTAGAAATTCTCATTTTTGAAAAAGCCACTTTGCGAAGGAAAAAGTAGTGAGTTGGGAGTAATTATGCATGCAATTTTTTTTGGAATAAGGGATCTTCGGATTTCTATCCTTAGATTTGTGACAGTAATACATAAACTTGAAATATGGACATAGAGTTTATGATAAAAACTTAAGTCAATTAGAAATCTTTTGTTTTGAAAAAACTTTGCGTTCCTCTTATTTACGTTAGTGGGCTGAAAAAATTTAATGGAAAAAATCTGAAGATTCAATTGTGTGTGCAATTGAAAAATTCCGTCCTCGAAGGTTTGACCCTTTTAATAAATCAATTGTTTGTGAAGAAACATTGTTTAACACACGTGAGTAAAAAATTTAATTTCAGGTTAGTTTTTTGAACTATATGAAAGAATATGTAAATCGAAATCCATCAACTGCTCCTTTTGTTTGCTTCTTTTGGATAAAAATTAAAGACTACAAATAATTTTCCTGATTTCAGCATTGAAATAATGGGTTTTGATGACTTATCTTAGGCCGATAAATTTCTCCAACATAATTTTTCTTACAAACAATTTTTAAAAAGTGCTTAAAAATAAGATTGAATATTTAAAAAACTTACCTTGTTTAAAAAACAAATTAATGAGAAAAGTTAGGTTTTTTGAAGTAACCCGAGATGACAAATTTACAAAAAAAAATCACTATCGTACAATTTCTTATAAGTTTTGTAGGAAACTTCCGCTATCTTAAACTTTCCTAATAGGAAAAGTTCTAAGATGGACACTTCTTTTCCAAAACTCAAAGAAATCTCCGAAAAAATGTTGAATGTAAGTTTGTACCGTACTAGCAGTTAGAAATTATTACGGGATTTGTAAAGTTATTTGTGCAGGTAGAAGTTTTTAGATAGTGGTCATAATGTAGGCATTTTGAAAAAAGACACTTCGAGTTTTTCAATGAGTCTCCTGGTTATACGTGATTTGCGGTTTGAAATAACTTGGACACAAAAAAAAATCAATTTGATCAAGGATGTCATAAAGCTGCGAACGTGTTTTATGTGGGATTCAGGTACTCATCGACAAAGGTTCTAGTTAATAGCAAAAAAAAATATTTTTTTAATTAAATTTTTGGGTTTTTCAGTAAACCCATATAGCAAAACGACTCGTTTGGCATCTGAGTTTCGGTTATTAAACTCTGTAGAAGTGAAAAATTTTCAAAATAGATGTAGGAAAACTTTTTTCCAATAAACAAACAAAAAAACTTGAAAAATGTTTGTAACAAAATCTCCTATATCACATCTTTGTTGTATTAAAGTCACTTTCTTACAATTTTCTCACAAAAAAGTCCCTATTTTGTAATATTTTTTAAGCCTAGTTTTGTAAGAAGTGGTAAGATTCTCATTAAAAAGTTTTAAAAAGGGCGAATTTTGGTCAACCCGAGAAGTTAGTTTAGCAGAGGTCAAGATTCTACAAACACTTAACTGCTTTATAACATTAAAGTGTTAGCTCTATAAAATGATTGATGCTTAAATGTTAGTGAATTATTTTTCATTTTTCTGTTTTTACAAGCGCAAATATCAGTAGTGTTGTTTTACATTTATCTATAAATAAACTAAATTCTGATCAAAAAATTAGAATAGTGTGAAAAATTTTTGCTTCTAAGAAGATTCACTCAAAACTGAACTTAGATAAAGTTTCTTCATTAGGAAATGAATCAGCCGTTAGATTGGTAACGGTTGATTCTAGATTGCAAAAACAAAAAAAAAACTGAAGATCAAATTAGGACTTTTTACATTGTAGGCTACAATGGGCTAGGATATAGAAAAATTGAAGCTAATAGGTTGGTTTTGTTGGTGTTGGAAATTTTGAAAATCAGAAGCTATTTTTTCCTAAATTTTGCAAAAAAAACATGCAAACTTTTTTATTTTAGTCATCCTCAATTTGTGTTGTTGGAAAAACTGTTTAGCTAATCTATTTTCAATTATTTCACTGCAAACATTTGAAACAGAATTCAATCCAATCAATTGAGGCTTACTTTAGCTTGGCTTCCTTTATTTTTTCAGAATTTCTTCTATTTTGCATTCCGTGTGAATACAAAAAAAGCTTAATTTTAAAGTCTTTTTATTGCCAAATTTCTTTATGCTCAATTTATTGAGTTATGTACTAATGACTGTACTCATAGAGTAATTTCAGATAAGGTACACCGTCTGCTCGTCACGCTATCTTATTTTCGGCCGGATAGATTCGTGCAACTTCTTAATCTAATACCGATCTTAATCTTACTCTTAAATCTCCTAGTCTCAATAAATTTAGTGTATACTGGTTTATGCGAGTTAGCTGCCAGGAGCAGATCAACAATATTCTAAGTTTTACTCAAGTTGTTCTGGTGCTGAAGCTACAAGTAGTTTCAGCACTTACAATTAAGAGTAAAAGTTAGAGATGGATTATGATTGGTTAGTTATAAATAGTTTATAGTGATAATCCATTATAAAAATAACTGGTCTATAAATACTAATTTAGAACTGGTTCCACCCATCCGGGGTTTAGAGAGTTTTTAGAAGTCAATTAGAAATCTTTTGTTTTGAAAAAACTTTGCGTTCCTCTTATTTACGTTAGTGGGCTGAAAAAATTTAATGGAAAAAATCTGAAGATTCAATTGTGTGTGCAATTGAAAAATTCCGTCCTCGAAGGTTTGACCCTTTTAATAAATCAATTGTTTGTGAAGAAACATTGTTTAACACACGTGAGTAAAAAATTTAATTTCAGGTTAGTTTTTTGAACTATATGAAAGAATATGTAAATCGAAATCCATCAACTGCTCCTTTTGTTTGCTTCTTTTGGATAAAAATTAAAGACTACAAATAATTTTCCTGATTTCAGCATTGAAATAATGGGTTTTGATGACTTATCTTAGGCCGATAAATTTCTCCAACATAATTTTTCTTACAAACAATTTTTAAAAAGTGCTTAAAAATAAGATTGAATATTTAAAAAACTTACCTTGTTTAAAAAACAAATTAATGAGAAAAGTTAGGTTTTTTGAAGTAACCCGAGATGACAAATTTACAAAAAAAAATCACTATCGTACAATTTCTTATAAGTTTTGTAGGAAACTTCCGCTATCTTAAACTTTCCTAATAGGAAAAGTTCTAAGATGGACACTTCTTTTCCAAAACTCAAAGAAATCTCCGAAAAAATGTTGAATGTAAGTTTGTACCGTACTAGCAGTTAGAAATTATTACGGGATTTGTAAAGTTATTTGTGCAGGTAGAAGTTTTTAGATAGTGGTCATAATGTAGGCATTTTGAAAAAAGACACTTCGAGTTTTTCAATGAGTCTCCTGGTTATACGTGATTTGCGGTTTGAAATAACTTGGACACAAAAAAAAATCAATTTGATCAAGGATGTCATAAAGCTGCGAACGTGTTTTATGTGGGATTCAGGTACTCATCGACAAAGATTCTAGTTAATAGCAAAAAAAATATTTTTTTAATTGAATTTTTGGGTTTTTCAGTAAACCCATATAGCAAAACGACTCGTTTGGCATCTGAGTTTCGGTTATTAAACTCTGTAGAAGTGAAAAATTTTCAAAATAGATGTAGGAAAACTTTTTTCCAATAAACAAACAAAAAAACTTGAAAAATGTTTGTAACAAAATCTCCTATATCACATCTTTGTTGTATTAAAGTCACTTTCTTACAATTTTCTCACAAAAAAGTCCCTATTTTGTAATATTTTTTTAGCCTAGTTTTGTAAGAAGTGGTAAGATTCTCATTAAAAAGTTTTAAAAAGGGCAAATTTTGGTCAACCCGAGAAGTTAGTTTAGCAGAGGTCAAGATTCTACTAACACTTAACTGCTTTATAACATTAAAGTGTTAGCTCTATAAAATGTTTGATGCTTAAATGTTAGTGAATTATTTTTCATTTTTCTGTTTTTACAAGCGCAAATATCAGTAGTGTTGTTTTACATTTATCTATAAATAAACTAAATTCTGATCGAAAAATTAGAATAGTGTGAAAAATTTTTGCTTCTAAGAAGATTCACTCAAAACTGAACTTAGATAAAGTTTCTTCATTAGGAAATGAATCAGCCGTTAGATCGGTAACGGTTGATTCTAGATTGCAAAAACAAAAAAAAACTGAAGATCAAATTAGGACTTTTTACATTGTAGGCTACAATGGGCTAGGATATAGAAAAATTGAAGCTAATAGGTTGGTTTTGTTGGTGTTGGAAATTTTGAAAATCAGAAGCCATTTTTTCCTAATTTTTGCAAAAAAAACATGCAAACTTTTTTATTTTAGTCATCCTCAATTTATGTTGTTGGAAAAACTGTTTAGCTAATCTATTTTCAATTATTTCACTGCAAACATTTGAAACAGAATTCAATCCAATCAATTGAGGCTTACTTTAGCAAGTTATTTGGCTTCCTTTATTTTTTCAGAATTTCTTCTATTTTGCATTCCGTGTGAATACAAAAAAAGCTTAATTTTAAAGTCTTTTTATTGCCAAATTTCTTTATGCTCAATTTATTGAGTTATGTACTAATGACTGTACTCATAGAGTAATTTCAGATAAGGTACACCGTCTGCTCGTCACGCTATCTTATTTTCGGCCGGATAGATTCGTGCAACTTCTTAATCTAATACCGATCTTAATCTTACTCTTAAATCTCCTAGTCTCAATAAATTTAGTGTATACTGGTTTATGCGAGTTAGCTGCCAGGAGCAGATCAACAATATTCTAAGTTTTACTCAAGTTGTTCTGGTGCTGAAGCTACAAGTAGTTTCAGCACTTACAATTAAGAGTAAAAGTTAGAGATGGATTATGATTAGTTAGTTATAAATAGTTTATAGTGATAATCCATTATAAAAATAACTGATCTATAAATACTAATTTAGAACTGGTTCCACCCATCCGGGGTTTAGAGAGTTTTTAGTTTTTAATTGTTTGACGTAGTGAAGGACGAGATGATGTAGTTTGTTTTTGAAGTTGCGAGCATTGATTTCTTG